CCCTCTCTCTCTCTTACGACATGACTCGTGTGGACCGGTAATTATACATAGATCTATAAAATTGTGGATTTAACTTCTCTGGGCTGGCCATGTTGTAAGAATGCCTGATTTCAGAATCCCCAAAGGCAGTATTCTATTCTGAACCTTCCTCAGGGAAGTGTAATTTTGGTGCACCAAAACAAGCTCTATAAAGACACCCAGAAAAATGTCCCTGAAGGTCATATTATTAATCCTTCGATATGGGAGAGCCTTGCTTCTGACTGACCCCACAGGAGAGCAGCAGTCATAGTGGGCAGCAAGTCATATGTTATGAGGTTTTGCAAAAATAGAAAATGCTGAAACCGAGATAGAAGCTCTCAAGCAGCACACACCCACACGTGGAAATGGAGTTGTAGAATGCTCAAAATGTAACAAACTTTTCTCTAACTCTAACCAGAATTGGTCTCATTGGCCATAGCAAATGCCACATTGTGATTTTAATAGTAATTCTTCTTTTAAAAAAATTATTTTCACTTGCAGATGCATTGGTTCATCTTCAGACATTGACAGACGAGCTATTGCAGTGTATCCTACCATAACATGACTCATGTGTACCGGCAATTATACAATATAGATTCTTCTTACCACTTACCACGTGATTCTTGTGTACCGGTTAATGTATCTAGATCTTTCTTATCTCCAACTACGTACTCGAGGGACTGTGGTACAATTATCTCTTAGCTTGTCGTCAGCCCATATGTAGCTTTGAGTGGATAGTAACGCATTAGGCCAACTGAGTTATCTTTGAAGTTGCCAACACATCAACGCGAGGTGTGTGTCAATGGGGTGAATGTTTTTAGAACAAAGAACACCACTTTACCAGTTGTCTCATTCGCGACTTTAAACAAATAACTAACTTCATTATAGTCTTTTTATACGAAGTTCCACAATTTAGAACGGGAGTGGGTGTATCGATAGTTCAGTAACACATGCGCACGTGCCAGTATCAGAGTCCATGAGATATGGTGGCTCATCAAATTTCAATTGGCTTGGGTAAGAGGAGGAGGAGAGGCTTAAACATCGTCTGTAGTGCAGCGGATAGGCACTTTGCTGTCGCACGCACAAAAACCGAGCTCGATTCCAGAGTGAGGAACAATTTTTATCGAGTACCGCGGTCTGTCTGCTGGGGTGTTGTATCCTTTTTATCTCGGGTTCGCCCTGACTGGAAGTGTCGGAAGCCCGCCTCCGGAATTGTCTAAATTGTGTCGATGGAAGCGTAAAGACACCTACCAACGTTTTTTTTTTAAAGTATGAACCACGAACATACCAATAACACTCATCTATCTAAAATGTCCTTCAAAAGTTCTATCTTGAACCACATGGGATGTTGCCAAAGACCACAGGAGGGGGCGTGTACTCGTCGCCTACACCACCTCGGCAGACTCAATATTGTTTACTGTTAAAGTTTTTTAAAAACCCACTTAAGAACAAAAACAAAACAATAGCTAGCAACAAAAAAAAAACCAAAAAAAAAAAAACAACCCAGCGTCCCATGATGCCGGTTTGGAGTACAATAGATTACCCCATACACTAAGTGGGCGGTTGGTGGGTTCTCTGGAGTGGTTTGCTCCGTCTTT